ATTTTGATTTCACTTTGGGTATGTATATAAAGTTACATCTCATTTTATATATTCATCCCATCCGTTGTATATTCAAATCCCCTCTTGTATATATTTATTTTATTTTCCGCAAGATTTTTCGTTTTTAGCTTCTTATTTGTGATTCGTAGCTTTTTGTTTTCGGAGTTTGCAATAAGACTTTGGTTTTCTTAATGCCACGGTTCTTTCAAAAGGTGGAGTGTTGTGTGAACCGGGTGGCTCTTCCCAATGATGGATGGCATGACAACCTTCTTAAGGGTGGTCCGTTTTTCTTTTTCTTTTTGGTTTTTAGTAGTTAGTAGTTATGGGTGCCTCAAGCAATGCTTCACTTGGGCCTAGCACATTTGCCTTTGATCTTATGGTCAAAAATAAATTGTTGTGTTTAGGATGGTGAAAGTTGTGACTTTGAGACTCTTGCGTTGGCCGATAATCATCAAGTGGATTTTCGGGACCATTGTGTGCTCAAATCGTATCTAAGGTCGTTATGGGCCCCCGACTCTATGTCTTTAGCAATCCCTTAGCTTGTGTGGTGAGTAATTGAATTGCAAGTCCAAGTCCCGAGCCATTGGTCTAGAACTTGCCCTGAATGTTTGTTGAGGCGAAATCCTAGGTGAATTTTGATTTAAGACATGATTATAGGCTCTCCTTGATCCAAATGATAGTTTGAACAATTCCATAGCCTACCAATGATAAGATCCTTAGTTAACCCTTTTGAGCCTTAGACCTTTTTCTTTCAAGAACCATGATACAAGCCTATACCCGTTCTAAAAGATATCCTCTCTTGGCACCCGATCTTTCCTTTAGCACATGGCAAAAGTATAAGTTTGGGGGAGAGACGAGGATTGCAACAAAGTGGCAAAAAGGCACAAAAATGAAGAAAAGGAAAGGCAATGAAGAAGAAAGAAAAGAAAAAAGTCAAAAAGAATGTTCAATGTGAAAAAGAATAAAAAGGGATTCAAGAGAAGCAAAGAGTGAAAGGTGTGAAAACATGAAAAAAGGAGAAAAGGTTTGAAATGCATAAGAAAGAGTGGCAATGTGTCTCTCTACCCCCTTAGAAAGAAGTGAAATGACTCAAAGAGTCAAGTGAAATTGAACCAAATGAATCAAAAGAAGTGCTTAAGGGAAGATGGAACCCACTTGAACAAAAACTTGTCCTACCCTAAACCAAAAGCCTTCACAGTGACTCCACACAAGCCCTATATGATCTTAAGTCAAATGGAGCTTACATTAGTAGATACTTACATAAGGGGCAAGCATATGGTACTCAGAGCCGGACTTGTGACCTTTTCTTGATCCTTGAAAGAGATGAGTGAATTCTCAATAACCTCGTTTTGTGTGCCAATATTTTAAAGGTGAGGTTTGATTAGGGAGAGTTGAGGATGTGTGAGTTTGGGTTCCACTATGACCGAAGTAATTGAAAAGAGTTCTTTGATGTGTTGAGCCAACTCTTGATGCTCTTGTGTCGCACTTGATCCATGGTTTTTCAAAGGTTAAATATTGTTAATGACTCATGTGTGTCGAGGGCAATTGTTAGTCCCAATTGATGGTAGTTGAGGTTACTTTAGGAAAGCTAAAAATTTCGTGGATTTTCCCTTAAGGGGTGGGTCTTATTTGTTTGCTTGAGGACAAGCAAAAGCTTAAGTTTGGGGGAGTTGATAACTAGGGATTTTGACGTGTTTCATGCTCCTTCTTACTTACGCTTTGATTATAAATTCTTACAAACTAGTCCCAAAAAGGCTCATAAGTTGTGCTTGATTGCAGGTTTGATCAACAAAGTGACGAGATGTCAAAGATCGGCTCAAAAGGAGAGAAACCTGCACAAGTACCAAAGACAAGACAACTCAGGACAAATAGGCCTAGTGCGGCCGCACTACACTTTGTGCGGTCCGCACTAGGGNGTAGTTATGGGTGCCTCAAGCAATGCTTCACTTGGGCCTAGCACATTTGCCTTTGATCTTATGGTCAAAAAGTAAATTGTTGTGTTTAGGATGGTGAAAGTTGTGACTTTGAGACTCTTGCGTTGGCCGATAATCATCAAGTGGATTTTCGGGACCATTGTGTGCTCAAATCGTATCTAAGGTCGTTATGGGCCCCCGACTCTATGTCTTTAGCAATCCCTTAGCTTGTGTGGTGAGTAATTGAATTGCAAGTCCAAGTCCCGAGCCATTGGTCTAGAACTTGCCCTGAATGTTTGTTGAGGCGAAATCCTAGGTGAATTTTGATTTAAGACATGATTATAGGCTCTCCTTGATCCAAATGATAGTTTGAACAATTCCATAGCCTACCAATGATAAGATCCTTAGTTAACCCTTTTGAGCCTTAGACCTTTTTCTTTCAAGAACCATGATACAAGCCTATACCCGTTCTAAAAGATACCCTCTCTTGGCACCCAATCTTTCCTTTAGCACATGGCAAAAGTATAAGTTTGGGGGGAGAGACGAGGATTGCAACAAAGTGGTAAAAAGGCACAAAAATGAAGAAAAGGAAAGGCAATGAAAAAGAAAGAAAAGCAAAAAGACAAAAAGAATGTTCAATGTGAAAAAGAATAAAAAGGGATTTAAGAAAAGCAATGAATGAAAGGTGTGGAAAGTTTGAAAACGAGAAAAGGTTTGAAATGCATAAGAAAGAGTGATAATGTGTCTCTCTAACCCCTTAGAAAGAAGTGAAATGACTCAAAGAGTCAAGTGAATTGTGCCAAATGAATCAAAAGAAGTGCTTAAGGGAAGATGATACCCACTTGAACAAAAACATGACCTACCCTGAACCAAAAGCCTTCACAATAACTCCACAAAAGCCCAATATAATCTTGAGTCGAATGAAGCTTACATTAGTGGATACTCACATAAGGGGCAAGCATATGGTACTTAGAGCCGGCCTTGTGACCTTTCCTTGAGAGAAATGAGTGAATTCCCATTAACCTCGTTCTGTGTGCCAATATTCTAAAGGTGAGGTTTGCTTAGGGAGAGTTGAGGATGTGTGAGTTTGGGTTCCACAATGACCAAAGTAATTGAAAGAGTTCTTTGATGTGTTGAGTCAACTCGTGATGCTCTTGCGTCGCACTTGATCCATGGTTTGTCAAAGGTTAAATGTTGTTAATGACTCATGTGTGTCGAGGGCAATTGTTAGTCCCAATTGATGCTAGTTGAGGTTGCTTTAGGAAAGCTGAAAATTTCTTGGATTGTCCCTTAAGGGGTGGGTCATATTTTGTATGCTTGAGGACAAGCAAAAGCTTAAGTTTGGAGGAGTTGATAACTAGGGATTTTAACGCATTTTACACCCCTTTTGTGCTTATGCTTTGATTATAAATTCATACAAAATAGTCCCAAAAGGCTCATAAGGTGTGCTTGATTGCAGGTTTGATCAACAAAGTGAGAAGATGTCAAAGATCGGCTCAAGAGTGAAACCTGCACAAGTACCAAAGACAAGACAAAACTCAGGAGAAACAAGCCTAGTGCGGCCGCACTACACTTTGTGCGGTCCGCACTAGGGAGATTCAGAGAGTTAGATTTTCAGGCATCAAGGCAGTGCGGCCGCAGAAGGTTTTGTGCGTTCCGCACTGAGGCACCGCGGCCGCACGACCATTCTGTGCGGTCCGCAGAACCAAAGTTCAGGGAGATGCCAAATTCAGAAGATGAAGCCTGTGCGGTCCGCAGTCCATTCTGCGCGGACCGCATTAAAGTCCTCCGCGGACGCAGTCCATTCTGTGCGGTCCGCGGAGCCTGGGTTCAGAGAGTCGAAATTTCATGTTCAAGAGCTTAGTGCGGCCGCACACCATTTTGTGCGGTCCACACTGACCCCGCAGGGGCAATTTGTCCAATTTTTCCAGCTTAGTATAAATTGACTCTTTTCCCATTTTTAGGGTATCTGACGTTGTAATACAGTAGCTGCGCTCGTGAGAAGACTTTTCTTAGCCAATTTGGGCACTCTTACTTAGTTTTAATCGCTGAATCTTTGTATTTACCTTAGTAATTAATTAATATGTCTTTCTCTTCATCTATTTCTCTGATTTGCTCTTCAAGCATGAGTAGCTAGACCCATTAGCTAGGGTTGTGACTCAACCCTAGTGTGGGTAATTGATGGGTGTTGTGATTTAAGGTTAGATTGACTATGACTGTTTGTTATTTGGGTCAATTTTATGGTTTAATTTATGAATTAGTGGTTGCAAACACTGGTTTGTGCTAAGTTGACTTGGGCTCTTCTTGAGAAAGAGAACCTAAGTCTCCAAAATTGGCTCAACAAGGAATTGGGATGGACTCAAGAGATTTAATAGTCCCAATTAAAGGGTTAAACCTCGAGAGAGTAATACCCGACTTGAACCCTAGTTGCTTGGACAAATATTCATACCCAATTGGTCTTGAGAAAGTCAATTGGACAAAATCACTCTTTCTACCGAGAGGTGTAGAGTGGGTAGTATCGAGAAACGGTTATAACATATTCCCCAATCATGTCAGTCGTGCCTTGGATGCAAGTACCCGTCAATTGGTCACCTAGGTGAAAGTCACTACCCTGTAGACATGTGATTTTTGACCCTCCCCAAGATTTTTCCTATTTTAGCATGTAAATATTTAATGTAGGCCTAATATAGCTATTTCAACTATTTTTGACTTCTTTACTTTATTTTATTACCAGAAATGAAAATTATAAAAAATATTTTAGTTTATGTATTTGTCATAAATTTGAAAAAATGCAAAAAATAGTACCCTATTTTTATCTTTATACAATTTCGAAAATACAAAAATAGTTTCATGTTTATTTTAATTAATTAGGATTAGTTTTGACATGGTGTAGTATTTCTATCTTATTTTAAAAGGCATTGTGTAGTCTAGGGACCCTTCTAGACTCTTCTTTAGGACAAAAAATAAATAAAAAGACCCTAAGGACTTAACACAAAAAGCCTAGGGACTAATTGGCAAAATACACAAAATATAACCCTAATCCCTACCCCTCTATAATAGTGTCTACACCTAAAATAAACCGAGACCATATACAACAAAGAACGCCTGCGAGCTATACAGAGAGCATCGCCGCAATACACAAAAAAGAACCCCCTTCCAGTCGATCTTGAGCTTCAGCCGCTGAACTCCAAAGAGAACCTCCACCCCTGAACTTCTCCTGCTTCCATTTTCAAAACAACAGACCTACACCCCTCTTGAGATCGGCCGCTTCTCTGAAATAATTGAAGAAAAGAACAGAAAATTAAGGACCCCCGAGCTAGGCTTCTTCTTCACTGATAACACACACACAATATAGGGGGCGAATAGGAAAATTGCTCACATCTATTCTAGCTTCTTCTTTGAATTCGCTTTCATCTGATGAAATATGGTTGAGTCGCCTAGTGGTAGTCAATTTCGCCGACGCTGCTGCTTTGCTTCTGGTTCAAGAGATCGAGCTCATTTTTTCAGATTTACCGGGTGAATTTAAGAGCTCTGTAGTCTTTGCCTCGGCCATAAACCACATCCATTTCAGTTTCAAATCTGTTCAATCCGTCGAGGTCACTGCCATGCCGGCACTTCGCCGGAGTTTCTCCATTTCCAGTCCAGCTTGAGTTCCGCCGAGGTTCGATTTGAGATCGTTGTTCTTTGTTTCCGGTTCAAGGTCTGAGCTCCGATTCTTTCACTTACATGTTCTGTTTTTGTTTATTTGCGATGCTCTGTTTATGAAGTCCTTGCTATTGTTAATTGCTATCTCCCTTTAATTTCATATACATGGTTTTGATGACATGAATTTGGAGTTACACGTTGTGAATTCTGTCGGTTGGGTTTCTTTTTCTGAGATTTGGCTTCACTTTTGCCTGGATGCAGAATGTTGGGTTTAGCTTCATTTTGTTGCTTGTTGTGGTTTCATCAACAAACTGTTGATTCACTTAGCTTCATTTTGTTGTTTGATTTCTCTTATAAGTTTACTTGCAATGGTCATGCCGTGCATTTTGTTTTTTAAGGAAAATAGTAATTGCATAGGGATATTGGTTGATTCTTTTGGTTTCACACAGTGTATACTTCACTTTAAGCTTCAAATTCTGAAGATTAATCACGACATGAGCAGGTGAATCGTAATGAGTTTTAGTCATGTAAAGGGAGGCTATGAGTTTGAATGTGTGATTGCCTTGATGCCATTTGCCACATCACAAATCTTAAGTTGTGCATTGTTTGCTGTTTACGTTGGATGGCAGATTTAGTTTGTAGTGTATTTGAATTTTAATTTTTTCATACAATTCTTGATGTTAAGAGGTAACGGGAAATCCCTTTAAGCTTTTCTTATTAATTAACCTCCTTTATAATTAGAATTGAGGTGCGCCGTGCCAAACAAAAATTATAAATGCATGTCCCTTACTTAAAATAATATTAAAATTCATAGAATTCGAGGCGTGCTATTTGGCAAATTTTCATGGCCCCCGTAAAGTTAACAACGCGTAGTTGCTTTTAGGCGCGTTATTTTAATAATGTACCTTCCTACACTCGGGTGCGCATTTATGTGACCCAAATCCAAATCTCAACGTTAGATAAAATGTGTTATGGACTGCGGGTGCATTTATGTGACGTGGTTCGAAACATATTTTAAATGACGTTGCAATCCTCCTTTAATTAAATAAATAAAAGCGGTTAAAAAGTCAAAATGCACATAGGTTTGAACATGTACTAAAATCAGATAATTAAGCCGAATATAACAGTTGAGCGACCGTGCTAGAACCACGAAACTCGGGAATGCCTAACACCTTCTCTCGGGTTAACAGAATTCCTTACCCAGATTTTTGGTCGCGGACTGTAATACAGAGTCAACCCTTTCCTCGATTCGGGATTTAAACTGGTGACTTGGGACACCATAAATCTCTCAAGTGGCGACTCTGAATCTTCTTAATATAAATAATCCCGTTTCGATTGTCACTTTAAGTTGGAAAAAACTCCATTTATTATACCCTTCACGGGGTGTAGTAAGAAAAATGAGGTGTGACATACCCTAGTGCCTTTTAGACCATTAGATACAACTTGTAGCAATTTACTCTTAGTTTAATTTAGTTGCAATTATAATTTGTAGTTTGATCATAGTAGAATATAAAGAAAAACCAAAAAATGAATAGAAGACCAATTAAGAGCACATACGCAATCCTAAACTAGATAGATACTCCATTCCAATCCTAGCTCTCTGTGGATTCGATCCCGACCCAAAATCGGGTAAAAGCTATTGCGACCCTCTCTTGCTACTTATTAGTAGTGCGGAGTTGGCAGCAATCAATGTCGGGCATACGAAACCTCTTTTGGATCGGCTTTGGTGCAGCGCTCGGGGGAAAAGGCTTTTGGATAAATTTTTTGGAGTCCGGTCCTTTCAATATCGGGGGTGCCCCGGGATCTGATCGACCCTAGAGTTGTACGTTTCCACTTTCTTGTCATTAGCCTCAATCATTTTCTCACCCAACTCCGCTCATTTTGTCAACTCTTCGAGCATCTTCATCACCTAGGGATTTACCTCGGGCTCAGTTGCACCCCGGTCTCTCGATTATTTGCTCATCTCTTCGAGTGCTTTCCCGACATTGTTCGGGCTCGACCCTGTTGGGGGTATGGTTTTGACTCTGCAGCTGTGTTATTGACGCTTGTTGAGCCTGCAACATTTTGAAGATTAACCGCAGGCTTACCCCATCACCTTCGCCTTCCGGTGCTTCCCGAGCTATTGGTCGGGGTCCCCCGCGAACACTATTTTCGGAATCGGTTGGCAAAATCACGTTGATGGCCACCTGCGAGTTAGCATCGAACGAATCGGCAACTGGGACACCATTGGGATTAGCAAAGGGCACCTCGTTACTGGGCATAAAATTATTATTTTTGTTGTGATGGCCAGACTCAGCATCAATTCAAGTGAGCAGACTAAGAGTTTGACATTTTTGGGCTGACCTAAAATTAAAACTTTAAACAACAAGTGTAAAATAGAGTGTGTTATGGACATTCGTATCAAATTACCACTATTATCCTTAGCCCCACGGTCGGTGTCAAATTGTTTATTCCAAAATTGGGTAACAATTAAATTTATATGTGGTTTTAAGGATATACGGTTTAATCAAAACGAACAATTAGGAATATCAAATAAACGAGTTAGAAATGAAAGAAAATGTTCAAACCAGTTGCAATATTATGGCTAAGCTGACTTGTAATGACCCGATCGGTCATTTTGTGCAATTTTGCCCCATTACCCAATTTTCATGCTTCACACTTACGTGTTATTGCTTTTATGACTTGCGGGGTTTATTGTTTTCGTTCCGGGAAGCTTTCAGGTTAATTTGGACCCTTGATTCTTGCCTTAAAAGTTTAATTTTAAAATGTTGATCAAACTTTGACTTTTGTGAAAACGACCCTGGAACTATGCTTTTATGACTCCGATAGCTTCGTATCGTGATATAGGACTTGGGCGTGTGCCCGAAATTGATTTTTAAAGTCCGTAGGTTGATTTGTGTTAATTTTGCCGAAATATAGCAATTTTAAGTTGAAAAGTTTGACCGTAGGTTGACTTTTAGCTATCGAGCTCGGAATTTGATTTTGGTACTTGGAATAGGTCTGTTATGGTATTTAGAACTTTCCTGCAAAATTTGGTGTCATTTTGAGTTGATTTGACAACGCTTAGTTTTAATGTTAGAAGTTCTTGAAAATTTCTTTGAAATTTTTGCGTTTTAGAGCTTAATTCGTAGTTTTAGATGTTATTTCTAAGTTTTGATCGCGCGAGCAAGTTCGTATGATATTTTTAGACTTGTCTGGATTTCAATTTGGAGCTCCGAGGGCTCGGTTGTGTTTCGAACGCTTAGCGGAGCTTTTGGTTCACATCTGCGAAGGTAGGCCAAGTCTGCTGGGTTCGCATTTGCGAACCCAGTATTCACATTTGCAAAAAGTTCCTGGGAATGAGCTAGTTCGCATTTGCGATCGACCTGGTCGCAATTGCGAAAGTCCAGGGTTCGCAATTGCGAACTTTTCACTGCAATTGCGATGACAGCAGAGATGAGAGGGTCTTCGCAATTGCGAGAGATTCTTCGCAATTACGGGGTTCGCAATTACGGACCCCAGGTCTCATTTGCGACATCTGTGATTGATCAAATAGCTGAGGGGTGGGATTTTTGAGTTCATTCTCTCATTTTTGAACTCTAGACTCGGTAGGAGATGATTTGGAGAGGGAATTTTCACCTAAAAACCTTGGGTAAGTGATTCGAATCTATTTCTAATCAAATTACATCAACATATCTTAGATTTTAACATCAAAATCATGTGTATCAAAATAGAAATTTGTGACACTTTGCTAAGTTTTGAAAAAATAAGAAATTGAGTTTTGAGAGTCGAATTGGACTCGGATTTTGAAACTAATCATATATATGAACTCGTGGGGTCATGGGTAGACGAAATCTACTATTGGACCCAAGTTTTGACCGGGCGAGCCCCAGGTTGACTTTTGTTGACTTTTTGGGAAAAATGTAAAGATCTTAACTTTATCTATTGCAATTGAATTCCCTAGAATTGTTTGATATTGTTGAGCCAAATTTGGTCAGATTTGAGTCGTGTGGAGGCGGATGGTAAAAAAGTTATTTCTGAGTTTTGGATTGGTCTATTTGAGGTAAGTGTCTTACCTAACTTCATGTGGGGGAACTACCCCTTAGGACTGGTATTGTTTGATTCAATTGTGTTATGTGAAATACGTGTACGCAAGGTGACGAGTGGGTACTCGGGTTGTACGTAGTATTTGACCGGTTTAGGCTACTTAGACTATTTTCATGCTTTAATTGAAATGCCTTATTATGTTTTAAATTCTCGTAGTCAAATTATCCTTAATTGTGTTAGAATATCCTTAAATGCCTTAGTTGACTTGTTTACTATTTGTTCTACATCCTACTTGCTAAATTGCTCCGATGTTTTTTAGTTGAACTTGTTGTCTCTTCTATTGTTACATGCTATCTCTTCACTGTTAATTATCATTGTTGGAGTAATTGTTCATGTTATCCCTTTACTTGTTGATTTCCATTATTTGAGACTCATTGTTGAATATTATCTCTTTTATTGTGAAGTTAGTCTTATCTAATATTGTGGTTATACATTATTTCTCTCATTGTTGAGATATTTGATGTTGAAGTTGTGGAAGTCGTTAATACATTGAGGCGATGTTGGTTATTGTAAAAACATCTATCTTATTAAGAATTTTCCATCCATTGTTATTGTTAATATTCTCGTATACGTTATGTTGGAGCCTGATGTTTAGTTTAAAGTATATATATATATTTATGTGTATATCGCCTCATATTTTACTTTTATTTCGTGGATTTAGGATGTGAAATGTGTTGATTTATATTAATTTGAAATGTTTTATGTCTAGGAATGATCCAGGAGCAAACGGGGGTGAAATGTGCGAAATTTGAGCCAAAACGGTCGAAAACAGGAAAATTGGAATTTGCAGCGCCCCAGGCAGCGCCTAGCCCTACCTGTGGTGCCAGAAATAGAAACTCCAAATCGGCAGCGCCATGGAGGGTGCCTGGCGCTAGGTAGGGCGCCGTTGGCGTGAAACTTGTCCAAATTCACCCGGGACACGGTTATTTCGGCCCTAGACCTACCCAATACGTATAAAAGCAAGACTAAACTTATTGGTGAGGGGGTGACGCCACTTTTGAGGGAAAATACAGACAAGAAACATTCGGAAGCAGAGAGATCTCAGTTTTCTTCATCTTTTTCTAGTATTTTCAATTATTCAACACTTATGAAATTGTTTGCTATTACCATGAGTGGCTAAAAACCCATTGTTCTGGGATTGTGATTTAGCCATGAATATTGTTGTTTAACGTTGACTTGACCATGATTATAATTCACTATTATATGATTGTTTCTTCAATTCTGTGATTAATTGCTTAATTGTCTGGCCAGCAGTTAGGTTCTATTTACTAACTATGCTATGCTTGGGAAAGTCGTGTTTAGATTAGAGAAGAATTGAAGAGAGCACGATCTTAACTCTTAGGGGGGGCGGATTTGTGGTTAGGATAGGAATATACCTAGTCATCGTGCTTAATTAAATATTGTAATCTTAATGCGTTCTTAATAGATTGATTTTATAGGAATATAGGCGTTAATATATTTAGAATAGCCGAGTACTACTTCGGGAGAAGGCTATGAGAGCAATTATCGATTAATTAGCAACCATGAGTGAATTGTATGAGAGGGAGAGTTAACTAGAACACAATCGGATTGGTGAATCGATCACAACCCTGGAATATTTGTCTCTATTGAATACATAACAATCATTTTATTGCTTGATAATTTAGTTATTAATTAGAATTATAGTTTAGTATAACCACATTCTTGAACTTGATTTTGGCTTGACTGAATAACAATCTTGGTGATTTTAGTGGGTAATTGATACAAGTCTCTGTGGGTTCGACACTTATCATTTTATTACTTGTACGACCACGTATACTTGCGTGTGCGCTTGGGAGCAACAAGTTTTTGGCACCGTTGCCGGGGACTTGAATATTGAATATTTTCTAGTTTTTGCTTTAATTGTTTATTTCGTCAAGTCTAACGTTACTTGATTGTTGCCCTGATCTCAAGAACTTTGATTGAATGCATAGGGTCAGAACCCAGGACCGACTTCAAGGCTTTGACCCTGAACCTGAGAGAACATTTCACAGAAGGTTGAGGGAAGCAAGGGATACAAATAATATTCAGGCACTTGTTCAATTTCCTGTGAACATTAGAGGAGCAACACATGGTTGTTCAGGAGGTAGCGATGCCCAGCATTGCTAATGTCACCTCCAGCATTGTGAACCCCAAAATCACTGGGCACTTTGAGCTGAAACAAAGCATGATCCAGCTACTTCATGCGAATAGGCAGTTTATGGGTCTTCCACACGAGGATCTACAATAGCATATCCTGAACTTCCTGGAGATTAGTGATACTTATATCACTAACGGGGTCACTCCAGACTACGTGAGGCTCACACTTTTCCTATTCTCTCTGTTGGGCAAATTAAAGCGATGGTTAGAACCAGCTAATTCTATTACATCATGGAATGATTTGGCAAGGAAATTTCTAGCAAGGTTCTTTCCTTCAGGCAAAACTGCAAAGATCAGAAGTGAGATAGTCTCCTTCAAACAGAAAGCAAGGGAGTCTCTATACTCGGCTTGGGAGAGGTTCAAAGGGCTAATCAGAGACTGTCCTCATCACAATCAGACAAGAGAAGTATTAGCTCACACTTTCATAGAAAGTCTACATCCTGAAACAAATATTATGGTAGATGTTGCAGCTGGAGGTCAAGTGTTAGAGAAAAGCTTTGACAAGATATATGCATTATTGAACAAATTCTCCAAAAGCAATCCGGATTGGCAAGGAGAAATGGGCAGACACACAGTGCAAAAATCTGCAGGGGTTCTTGAGTTAGATGTCATCTCGGCATTATCAACACAGATTTCTACACTGAGGAACCAAGTCAATCAGATAACCATAGTTATAAAAACAAGAAACAAGCTCAACCAATGCAATACGTTCAAGTGTTTTGTGAAGTATGTTGAGAGGGTCACACGAGCGACTTATGCCTAATTAATCTAGAGTCTGTCTGCTTTGTGGGTAATGCAAATAGGGGTGAGACAAACCAATATGGGAACACTTACAATCCCAACTAGAGGAACCACCCAAACTTCTCTTAGGGTGGAAATCAAGGTGCTCAAAACCATTACTGACCACAAGCACCTCAACAGCAATATAGACCACCTCAGGCTGAACAACAAGCAAGTCCAACAAGTCACCTTGAGGAAATGATGAAAAAATTGATGGTTGATCAGCAGGCCCAAGCCACAGCAATGAGAAATTTGGAGCGCCAAGTGGAACAGCTTGCCAGTGCTCAAAACACTAGACCAGTTGGAGCTCTTCCAGTTGACACTGAAGCTAATCCTATGGCATCCCTTAATGTCGTGTCATTGAGGAATGGGAGACAATTAGAAGAAGTTCAATCGAAAAAGAGAAAACAGGTGATTTTTAATGAAAGGCCATCCCCTATAGAATCAACATCAAAAAAATCTAAGGATTCAGAGAAGCCAGCTGAAGAGGCAGTGGCTGAGCAACCCCCACCATTGGTTGCAAGGCCACCACCTCCGTTCCCTCAATGATTGCAAAAAGTGAAGGATAACGCCGCATATAATAAGTTTCTTGATATTTTGAAGCAAGTGCAAATTAATATTCCATTGGTAGACATTTTACAAGAAGTGCCCAAATATGCAAAGTACATCAAGGATAGTGGCAAATAAAAGGAAGGTGACCGAGTTTGAAACTGTGGCACTCACTAAGGAGTGTAGTTCTAGAATTCAAAGCAAGTTACCTCAGAAATTGAAGGATCCAGGTAGTTTCACTATCCAAATCTCTATTGGTAAACATGCGGTTGGGCAAGCTTTATGTGATCTTGGAGCGAGCATCAATTTGATGTTGCTATCTGTGTTCAGAAAGTTGGAGTTGGGTGAGCCACGCCCAACAACGGTAATTTTATAGTTGGCCGATTGCTCCCTTGCTCATCCTGAAGGAGTGATTGAAGATGTGTTAGTTCAAGTGGGTACTTTCATATTCCCTGCTGATTTCATTATCTTGGACTACGAGCCTGATCAGGAAGTCCCATTTATTTTGGGGCGTCCATTCTTAGCCACGAGCCGAGCTATTATCGATGTTTCCAAAGGAAAGATGACGATGAGAGTGGGTGATCGAGTGAAGGTATTCAATGTTTATAAAGCACTTAGGTTGCCAGCCCACTATGAAGAGCTATCTATGATTTCTGTGGTGGAAAGTAATGCTACATCATTAGTGCCTTATATGAGCCCTATAGATCCTCTTGAACGAGCTTTGATTGGGGATGAAGAAGATAGTGAAGATGAAATGATGGGAGAAATTGAGCAAGTACTTGATACGTCCTGCAATTATGTCCATGGATTTGGAAAATTTGAGGAGTTGGACAGGCCTGTCACTTTGACCCCTCCTAAGCCATCGCATCTGCGTTATGCTTATTTGGGGAACTCTGAGACATTACCCGTGATTATCTCCTCCAGCTTGACTAACACTCAAGAAGAAAAATTACTCAGAGTACTCTGCGATCGTAAAAAGGCAATTTGGTGGACTATTGCTGACATCAAGGGAATCCAGTCCATCATTTTGCATGCATAAAATCTTCTTAGAAGATGGACACCGCCCAAGTGTTGAGCAGCAAAGGAGGTTAAATCCCATTATGAAAGAGGTCGTGAAGAAGGAAGTAATCAAGTTGCTCGATGCAGGTATCATCTTTCCTATTTCTGATAGCAACGGGGTAAGCCCAGTTCAATGTGTGCCCAAAAAGGGGGGATGACTGTGATTGAGAATAAGAAATAAGCTAATTCCTACTCGCACTGTGACGGGGTGGAGATTCTGCATTGATTATAGAAGGCTCAACAAAGCAACCCGCAAGGACCACTTTCCACTTCCATTTATTGACCAAATGATGGAATTAGCCGGGCATGAATACTATTACTTCCTTGATAGTTATTCGGGATACAATCAGATTGTCATATGCACAGAGGACCAGGAGAAGACCACTTTTACTTGCCCTTATGGCACTTTTGCCTTCAAGCGAATGCAGTTTGGTCTTTGTAATGCACCAGCCACTTTCCAGAGATGCATGATGGCTATTTTCACCGATACGGTGGAAAATTTTGTGGAAGTGTTTATGGATGATTTTTTAGTCTCTGGGTCTTCTTATGATGATTGTTTAAGCAAGGTGTTGGCCCGTTGTGAAGAAACAAATCTGGTACTGAATTGGGAAACGTGCCATTTTATGGTGCAGGAAGGCATCGTGTTGGGTCACAGAGTGTCTAAGAGCGGCATTGAAGTTGACAAGGCGAAAGTGGAGGCGGTTGAAAGATTACCTCTACCTATTTCTGTGAAGGGTGTCCGAAGTTTCTTGGGACACGCGGGATTCTATCGGCGCTTTATTAAAGATTTTTCTAAAATTGCTACTCCTTTGTGCAGGTTGCTTGAAAAAGATGTAACTTTCAATTTTGATGACGCCTGCCTCAAGGCATTTGAAGAACTCAAAAAGAAGTTGGTGCCTGCTCCTATTATTGTGGCACTAGATTGGTCCTTACCATTTGAACTTATGTGTGATGCGAGCGATCATGCTATTGGGGCATTGCTAAGCCAGAGGAAAGAAAAGGTGTTTTATTCCATCTACTGTGCGAGTAAGACTCTTGATGATGCACAGCTGAACTACACCACCACTGAAAAGGAGTTGTTAGCTGTTGTGTGAGCCTTTGAAAAATTTTGGGCATTCTTGGTGGGAACGAAAGTCATAGTCCATACCGATCATGCAGCAATTAGGTATCTATTTACAAAAAAAGAATCTAAGGCTAGATTGATGCGCTGTGTTTTGTTGCTGCAGGAATTCGATGTAGAAATACGAGATCGAAAGGGGACAGAGAACCAAGTAGCTGATCATCTATCAAGGCTGGAAAATCACGACCACGTGGAGGAGGGCGGCCAAATTAAAGAAGTATTTCCTGATGAGCAACTTTTTGCTATCACCCAAGACCCTCCCCCATGGTACGCAGACTATGTGAATTATCTTGTAAGTGGGGTATTTCCTCTTGAAATTGAGTCTGAAGATAGAAAGAGGTTTCTACATGATGTGAACTTCTACTATTGGGATGAGCCATATTTGTACAAGCAATGTGCTGATCAGTTGATGAGGAGATGCATTTTAGAAAAGGAGGTAGAATTAGTGTTGTATGATTGCCATGCATCACCTTATGGAGGCCATCATGGAGGAGATAGAACAACTGCAAAGGTATTGCAATCCGGTTTCTTTTGGCCAACTTTATTCAAGGATGCCCATGCATTTGTTAAGAAGGGTGACCAATGTCAGAGAACAGGAACAATCACAAGGAGGCATGAGATGCCTTTGAATAACATCCTAGAAGTTGAGATTTTTTATGTGTGGGGGATAGATTTTATGGGACCATTCCCGTCGTCTAGAGGAAAAAAATACATTTTGCTAGCAGTTGACTACGTGTCAAAATGGGTAGAGGCAATTGCATTACCAACAAATGATGCCATGGTGGTAGCTGCGTTTGTGAAAAAGAACATATTTTCGAGGTTTGGGACTCCACGTGCCTTAATTAGTGATGAGGGGACTCATTTTTGCAATCGGTTGTTGAATAATTTTCTAGCTAAATATGGAGTCCGCCATAGAGTTGCTACAGCATATCATCCTCAAACAAGTGGGCAAGCTGAGGTGTCGAACAGAGAAATAAAGCAAATCTTAGAGAAGACGGTGAGTGTGAATAGGAAGGATTGGGCTGCAAAGTTAGATGATTCCTTATGGGCATATAGAACCGCATAAAACGCCAATTGGGGCGTCACCATACAAGTTAGTTTATGGGAAGGCATGTCATTTGCCTGTTGAACTTGAACACAAAGCATATTGGGCCATTAAGAAGCTGAACATGGACCTTGAAGCCACGGGCGAGAAAAGACTTTTGCAGTTGAATGAGTTAGATGAGTTCAAGTTTCACTTTTATGAAAATGCTAAGCTTTACAAAGAAAAGACAAAAAGATGGCATGACAAGCACATCAAACCATGTCACTTTGAGCTAGGCCAACAGGTATTGTTATTCAATTCGAGACTAAGGCTATTCCCTGGGAAGCTAAAATCGAGATGGTCAGGCCCGTTTGAGGTGGTGAGAGTCACTCCTTATGGCGCAATTGAGTTGCGAGCTTTACACGGGGAAAGAAAATTTTTGGTGAATGGACATAGAGTCAAGTACCATTGGGGAGGAATAATTAATCGTGAGAAGACCAAGGTTGTACTCGCTGATGAGTAAGCGAGACTCTACGTCGTGCCGCGACGTTAAATCAGGCGCTTGTTGGGAGGCAACCCAATTTTTATTGCTTTCCTGGTTTAACTTCTTACCTTTTTTTTAGTTAGAGTAGATAGAGTTTGCATTTTCTTTGTAGGTATAGAAATTATAGATATAATGGTGTAGGACGTGTAAATTGAGTATATAAAAGGCTCGGGGGATCGGGATGTCACAAAAAAAACAAAAAAAAGTAAAATTCCTCGAAAATAGCGCCCAGGCCAGCGCCCAACGCTACCTGGGGGTGCTAAAAACAGTGTTCACAAATCGCCCAGCGCCAGCATAGCGTTGAGCGCTGGGCTGGGGGTTTCTAGTTATAATTTTTTTTTTATTTTAGTTTATTTTCGTTTTTAGTTATTCGATAACCCATACCCATTTAACCCTACCCATATACCCATTTACACGAACATCCTAACCCATCCTACTGCCCATATCCATCCCCAACCTAACTTAACCCATAACCCAAATTCCAAAATCAAAACAAAAAAAAAACACAAAGGCTGCTCTCTCTCTTTCTCAACGCTGCTTCTGGCGATTCCCCTTTCTTCTTCCTCACAAATTTTCTCAAGTTTTTTCTCTTGCTCTCCTTCTCAAGTCTACAGGTATGTTCTTCTTCTCTTTCTTTTTTTTGTTTTCATTGGTAGATAACAATGCACATCCCATCCCCCAAGTGCCCTAATCCCCAAGTTTTTCCCCATATGTAGTTCTTAAGAAATTTTTATGGTGGGTGGTCCACCTTGGTCGAAATTTGTGTGGTTATTGTATATACGGAGTAGTAAACTAGAATTTCCTCTACTTCATTGAAATTTGGGAGGGCCACAATGTCCACCATTGTTAAACTAGAATGCACACACTTTATATGTTCCGAAAAAGTCTGAGTAACCGAGTATATGTGTGTATGAATGTGGGCTAAGTGTGGGGTGTATGGGGAGGACCTTACATGCTAAGGAGCTTGGTTTTGATGCAAACATGTTCCTACATCATCTATCTTATATAATGTATGTTGTAGAATTTAGCTAATTTAGTGTAGTGTAATAGTTGTCGGAAGGTGAATAACATATGCCTTTTGCTTACCTTAAGGTGAATTCACTAGCCATAATCAATCACTTGTGTGTGTGGCATTGATTAGTGCCCTTTTAGCTATTGTATGGCATGGGGAAGTCTTGAGTACCCATAGCTTTGGAGTGCCACACTTGTACATGTTAGAACAAAGTTGTGTAGTATTGTACATTGTGCCTTCGGTTTTAAGTGTGGGGTCACTTCATGACTTGCGCGACAAACCTTAGGCATATTTCTTGATGAGTTCTCACATACGTGCTTATTTGTGTTGTAGGATATTACGGCTCGTGATAGTTCTAGCAAAGGCAAGGGCATTGGAAAGTCCTCCACCACTTCCCCTGCGCCCAAAAAGCAAAAGCAAGGAGAAGGATCCTCGCCGCAAGCTAAAGGCAAACAGGTTGCCGAGGGATCACAGCAGGTGCCATTGAGACCGAGACCTCGCTTGGATTGGTCAATGATGCAGCTATTGCATGGCACCGGGACTTCGTGCCATATGGACGGTATATCTCTGAGATAGGAATTAATACCAAGGCTTTAGAAAGAAACTTCCCAGAGGTACTTGGCCGGCTCCGCGCACTAAATATGAACAAGTTCCTGGAATGCCCCAGGCATGCAAATCTGAGCATGGTTCGGGAACTTTATGCTAACTGGGATGCTGGATAGGGCACTGCACGTGTACGGGGGACGAATGTGCCAATGGATAGAGAGTCTTTGTGTGCACATTTGGGGGTTGAGAATGTTGACCCGAGGAGACTCCAAAGATTTGTTAGAAGCCCAAAATATTTGTTGATACGTCACACTCTTTGTGGCGTGTATTCCAATGCTAAGTGGACCAGGAAGCAAGGTAACATTCACCTTTCTATGGTTCGCTCCGATTTCAACAAGACTGCCAAAGTGTGGCAAAATTTTGTGCAAGCCAGACTCATGCCAGTGGAGCACAGCCGTGATTGCACTCGAGCTAAAGTGTGTGTCATCTTCTTTTTGATGACTGGCAGACCCATTAATATGGGTGATATTATGCTCGGTGAGATGGCCCGCACGAGATTTGGGCGACAGATTAAGAGGTTCTTCTTCGGCAACTTACTCACACAGTATATGCTATTCCGAGGAGTGCCGGAGTACCCCGGATATGATGAGGAGGTGGAGGCTCCGTCAGGGCTTTTGGACATCGCATCTCTGTTGGAGATGTCGTCAAAACTCACTCTAGCCGCACGGATTGAA